TTTTTTTTTTTTTCAGGTACGTCGTAACTCATCGTCGGCTTCCACAGATAGCGGACGTGGAGCTGACTGTTCAACAACTGTTTCGCATATTACCTCAAATACGTCAATGCGACGCGATCGTTTAGTAGCCGCTAGTCATTTTGGTAGTCAACGATCGTTGTGGTGCGAACTCCCAGAAGTCTGTACTTCTTATATTGTCATCTTTTGTTTGAAAAGTATCACCGGCTATCCATATTGCTAGCTTTTTCCTGATTTTGCAATTCTGTTTCAGTTGGGATACAATAAAGCAGTTGAAGTGAAACACGCATGGTAGTTAGTGGGATTAGGAATGAAAATTGAGAATATGTAACTTAAAATGGACGGTTTCTGCTGTTTTTTCATTACTAATAAAAAAATTAAAAAAACGAAGAGTAAAGATCTATAGAATTAGCTCTTGAAATTCTGTGTTTATTGTTTTGGTAATTATTTTTATAACTTCTAATTCTTCCCCATATCTATTTCAGGCAATTTTCTGCAGGAATTTTTTTTTTCTGTTCAAGTAACAGAAGTGAACTCTGTTTTTAACTTTTAGCCATATAGAATCTATTTTTAAAATATTATTGAGAATGGTTCAATTTACGTGTCATTTAATGTTTATTAACTAGTAACTCTTGTTCCAAAATTTAAATCAATATAGTTCAAATTTTGAATTGAGAGGCGGTTAAAGGATCTGAACGGTTCGTTTAAAAGGTGCAATTATTTCTGTATCTTTATGCCATTATTATTTGAAGGTCAAAAGCGCTGGTTTGCTGGATGTACTTGACGAAGATATGAAGAAACTTCAAGAAGCGTTTTTTGAAGTGATTACCAGCGAAGCATCGTACCTCCGATCTTTAAATATACTGATAACACATTTTATGGCAGCTCCTGAACTACTTGGCTAGTTATTATAATTTTTGGTTCTTTTTCAAGGTTCTTCAGCTTTAGCCATTAATGGTTGCTTTACACTTTTGTTCAATGTACGTTGAATGAGAGGATTGTAATGAAGTTGCTAAACTATGACTTCTTGAACTCTTTTTAATCAGAATTATTAACCACAGACTGGTTAGGCTTTGAAAAGTGAAATGAATTGCACCTATTTTAGGCTCAAAAGGAACTTCATCAGTAATTTCAAACGAGGAAAGAAAGCAGCTGTTCAGTAATATTTTTGCTGTTAGGGACTGTAGTGAAAGGTTTGTTTAATTCGCTCATTGTTTTGATTTCTTTTCTCTTCAAATAACTCTGTTTCTTTGTGCAAATGAGAAATCAACTGCACTCTGTTCTCTTCAATGAATATTAAGCTAATATGCACCGATTTTGAAATATTAGACATATTGAAACTACAGGCTGTTGTGCGATCTGGAATCTAGACTGGAAGCAAATCTTGTGCTAACCGATGTTTGTGATATTCTTTGTGAACATTTTTCGACAAATTTTGACCCCTATGTAATGTATTGTTCAAATCAAGTCTACCAAGACCGTACACTTAAAAGACTCAAGTAAATAGTTTCAGTATTTCAACTTAGTTGTCTAGATTTTTATTAAACTAAAGTAACAGTTTAGTTGAGAAAATGATAACATTGGAACGTTTAATAAATATTCGTTGTAGATGCGAAAATGCAGCATTTATGTCTTGTATTCAACGGCTTGAAAGCGATCGTCAGTGTCAGGGATTAGACATGAGATCTTTCCTGATGCTTCCAATGCAGCGAGTTACACGATACCCTCTACTAGTAATTGCTATTCTTGATCGTATAGGTACTGATACAGAGCAACAAAGAACCGCCCAGGCAGCTCTGCATCTTGCGAACCAGGTATCTTTATTACGTTATACAGCAATTTTTCGCCTAATCTTTTTTAGCTTGTTACCTGTAGTTAGCGCTAAATAATTGGAAAGGTTTAAAATTTAGATAGCATTGTGTTGGGAAACTATGTAGACAAATTCAGGTGGCAATGCAGATTTGCTGCGCTTTAATAACCTGAGATAGAACACTATCTATTTTTAGGTGGTAATAAGTTGCAACGAAGGAGCTCGAAGAATGGAACGAACCGAACAGCTGTTAGAGATTGAGCGTCGGTTGATATATAAATCTTCAGATTTACGGTTAGTCTTAACACTCTTTTGCCTTATTTTCATGCGCTGATAAAAAAGCCAATTTTGCACATTTTTTTTGGAAACAATGATCTAGAATTTTCCAAAACAATATGGTGATTGGAACAGTTTTAGCCGAATCCCTTTGGTATCTTCTGGACGATATCTGGTTAAACAAGGTTCTTTGATGCATCTGACAGAAATTAAACCGAAAACTATCTTACAGCCCCGTCAACATGCGCACAGTCTTTATTTGTTCCTTTTCAGCGATATTCTTATGATCACCAAAAAGAAATTGTAAGTGAAAATTATGCTGCTTTCTTTTTTTGATGTTTTGAAATGGAACGTAGTGTTGAAATCCTGTAATTTTTACATTTTCAGAAATGGAACATTTGTTTGTAAAGACTATGCTACTAGAAAATTTGTTGATATTGAGCCTGTGGAGGCAGATAGTCCAAAGGTGAGGATCACAAGTAAAAAGATTAGCAGCGAATTTGAAAAGTACTGTAGGGTTTGGAAACGGTTGTAGAAAAGACACATTTATAATAAGCTCTAAAAGTTGATTTAACTTAGAGTTTGAATCACAGCTTGTACGATATTCTTTGTTTGGCAATATTTGCAATAAAAAAAGTGAGAAGTTTGGGTCAAAGTAGGTGTGTAAAATGAATCAAATTGAGCGTTTTTATAGATGGAAAGGAACTTTAAATTGAGTTGACAGTTCAATTATTTTTTAGGTGTTTCCGGGAGCTTTGGTTAACCTGACTTCAAAGCCGCATCTGTTTATTTGCACTCTGATGCATAATGCCAGAGGTAAACAAACCGAATTGCTGCTAAACGCTGAATCTGAAAGCGATCGAGAACGA